GATTTCCAAAGTCATTATGTTCAACACTTAGCTACCCAAGTCATCCCGGATGGATGGGGCTGTTGGTTTTTAAGAATCCCGAGTTCCCCCAGCCTCTCTTAGCAATTCCTTAGGACCTGTCCCATCAGTAACTCCAGGCACCTGTAGATTTCAACTGTGAGAAGAATTCAGAGTTGTTCTCAGCATTGTGTAAAGCAGGACAGAGGCTCCCTTTGTCTGTGCCCCAGAACAGGCTGCTCTACTATGCCATTAGAGTTAGGGCATTAAAATGTGTGGGGATAAATATTCCAGAAACAGGTGCTGGTGGCATGTAAGAGTAGATTAGGAAACCGGAAGTCCCAAGCCAAAGGAAGCTGTCCTCTTGAGACAGGAGCTAAGGAGGCGACCCAATTAGTCTTCCCTTCTGTAATTTCCCTGATTACACATCTCCTTTTGCCCCATGTGCTCTACCTAGTAAGTTTCCCAAGACATAGACCTAATCAAGAAGGCAGAATATTGATGCAAGTCAATTTAAATGACAGCTGTGTTATGCTAAGATATGTGACCAACAATCAGACCCAAAGAACAGGGAAGCCCCTAAGGCATAAAAAGTGGCTGGACCAGACAACCGCTACTGTGGAATTCAAAGCAAAGAAGGGTAGAGATAAGAGAACTTCATTAGAGCAACTCCTGCAGGTCTATCCAGGGTGTGGCACAACTGATGCCACAGTCTGGCTGAATTAGTGCATGGAACGGGCACTGCTTGGCTAAAATTCTTGGTTATGGATACAGGTTGAGTATTCCTTGTCTAAAATGCTTGGGGCCAGAAGTGCTTCAGATTTCAGAATTTTTAAGATTTTAGAATTTTTGCATATACATACCAAGGTATCTTGGGGATGGGACTCAAGTTTCAATATAAAACTCTTCTATAGTTCGTTTATACCCGTACACAGTGCTGTCTGTGTTTTCACTATGACCAGGCACATGAAATCAAGTGTGGAATCTTCCAGTGTGGTACTGAGTTCCAAAGCTTCAGACTTTGAGGCATTTCAGGGTTCCGGATTAGGGACATGTGTGAGCCCTGGAAAGGGAGGTGGGTCTCTGTAACTCCTCAACTCACTTGGTCCCAGTGCACTGAGCAGTGGACACGGTGAGCCAGCAACACTAGGAAGACCTTTGGCAGGAAGTTTTCCCTTTAAAATGGTTAACTCTCATATGTTGAGGTCCATCCCATATTTAACCCTTCTTTGGACTTAACCCTTCAAGAGCAAGGCAGAAAGGCCAAGAGGACAGGCTGGAGCTGAATGGCTGGATTCCACTCTGCCTCTGCAGTAGCTGCTACAAGAGCTGTATGAACCTGGGAAAGCATTCCTAGTAAAGCCTCAGCATCACCACCTGCAAACTGGGCACACGGGATGCGGACTGCACACAGATTTAACAATAATACTGCCGTGGGTTAGTGAGTATACAGTGTTTGGCACAATTCCTCCCACACAGCCAACATTCCTTTTGTTCTGTGAGTGCTGTCCTGACAGCAGCAAAACATAGTGTTAGAGGAAGCACAAGGTCACAGAAAAAAGGGAGAAGTGCACTGACCTGCACCAAGCAATGCTTAGCATTTTGGACCTTTACTGGAAAACAAACATGCAGACGATGGTCATAAATTAGGAGAAATACGGGAGTACAGAGACATTGTCATTGCTGTTTCTTTTTATGTGTTTATTGTGTGGTGGTGGGTGATTACCAGTCTTATTAGACTGTTTTAAAAGCTGCTAGATTTGCTTACTGAGAATGAACAGATAAATAGGGACGCTACTCGGCTGTATCATGTCACGGGGTCTCGTTGGGTCTTCTGCTAACTTGCAGACAAAGTTAATTAATGAGGAGCGTTTGTTGTGGAGGGGGAAGGGCTGGACTTGCTGGGTGATTCATCTTGTGGGGGATGGTGGGTGAAGGAAGGCTTGTGGGGAGTAGTTCTGAAGAGCACTGGGCAGAGAGGGTCATGGTTTCTTGAGACAGACTTACTGACAGGCATGTCACAGGAATACAGACACTTTAACATTATATGAGTGACATATGTTAGAACAGTCACTAAATCTTTTCTAACTCTGTTTTAAGGTTGTGCTTTTGAAGTTTTGTTTAACTTTTAAAAAAATTAAAAAATATTTTATTTATTACTTTTATTTTATTTTATGAGTGTATTGCCTGTGTGTACGTGAGTGCACCCGTGTCGTGCAATGCCATGGAGGTCAGAAGAGGCTGTCGGATCCCCTGGAACTGGAGTTAAGGACAGTTCATAGGTGCCATGTGGGTGCTGGGAATTGAACCCGGGCTCTCTGCTCTCAACCGCTGAGCCATCTCTCCAGCTCCTTGTCTAACTTTTTATAGAAGGTGCCTTTAATCTTAAATTCATGTTGTTTCAAACATTTTCCCTGATTTGTACACATGGCAGGTTCTTCACGTTGGTGACTCAGACGACATACCCCCTACTCAGGGACACTTCCTGCATCCCTCCTGCCTTCACGGTACCTCACTTTACACCTGCAGAGTGTGTATCCTGGTGGCTAAGGGACTGGGGTATGGAGTAGACTTCCCAAGTTCAAGCTGTCCTTCATCATGTAACCTTGGGTAGGCCAGTCCATCTTTCTACCCTTAGTTTCTTTATCTGTAAAATGGAAACAAGACACTTTCTTCTAGGACAGTGTGAGAGCTAATACATGCAAACGGATCATGCCCAGTCTGTCACAGGGCTCTGAGCTAGCTGCTATCATTCCTTTAACGTTCATTGCTCTCTGAATCTGCCTTTGTTTCTCACCATGGTCCTCTTCCCTCCAGAGTAGAAGAAATCGGAAAACAGGGCTTTTATAGATCGTTGCTGGGGCTTTAGGCTCTAGAACAAGCCACACACTAGGGGCTCAAAACCTTGCTGACTGGCTTTTCTTCTGTCAGTATTTAAGATGACATCTAATTTCAGGTCAGTCAGCAAAAACAGCTTTTTTAGGAGCCTGAACGTCTAATAAAAACCAACACAAGAAGTTTGGTCTCTTGCCTAGACAAACTATCAGTATTGTACCCACATAGCCCACTTCTTATTTTTCAGATAAGATATCCAAAGCACTTTGTAAGTTGTAGTTTGTAGTATGACAGTTTTGGTGTTTTCAAAACTTATTCAATAAACATTGAATTATACTAACTATTGCTTTTCTAAAGAACATCTCGTCTCTTCCATTTGTGTTATGCCTCCTACCAAGTAGTAAAACCAAAAAAGATGCGTCTAGACAGGAAGGTCAGAGTTAAAAGGAAACCCCAGGACTTCTAAATCTGGAATGCAAAGAATGACTCTTTCTAGCATTAAAATAATAATCTCACATCTGTAGTTTCCTTAGGGAATCCAAACTTGCTAATGCTACAGTTAATGAGGAATAAATTCGTACTGTTCAGTACGACAGGAAAAGACAAACTAGCCCTAAGGATGAGGTCTGGTTTCCTTCCCCGCAGCACACTGCCATATAATAACTGTGTAGGGTAAGGCAGGCAGGAGCTGCCTGATACCTCCTCCTTGTCCCACACCCTGCTAAAGGTCAAGGTTGCTCCACATGTGCCTTTCAGAATGTAGGACAGCTCAGCTTAAAGGTCGTCCTTGGTAGGCTTCTCCACCTCCTTCCCTTAAAAAAAAAAATTCCTGAAGAATTAATGTCAAAGAGAGTGCCTGCCTTTGACTTCATACAGCTGCTAGTGTTCTGATGACTTGCAGAAAGGTTCTAAGCCCTGCCAGTAATGGCCGTTATCTTCCCTAGGGTCACCCTAAAGAACTGAGCTGTATCGGAACCTCTGGGGGCTTAGATTGGAGCAGGCTGGGTGGCCCACTGATGCCACAGTCTGTTTCTGTTTGCCTCACTACACACAATAAACACTGTTTAAGAGATTGGTTAGTGTGTTGTAAAGTTGATAAGACTCAGGTTGCCAAAGGCATTTCATAAATTTCCTAGGTCTTAATTTTTGTTGCTATAGTAACTAGAATGTTGGAATTTCTTGAGATTAGAAGGCTTTTATATCCTTAACCTTAAAATGATAATAATGTAGATTATGACTTCAGAATTGGTCTCTGCCTGTGAGGAACACATATACCGTGCAGTCTGAGTATTCTGTGTATGCTAAGTAGTATGACTGAATGTTCAAGAGCTGTAATTTTTTTTTTTTGAGTCTTGTTGAGACAGGGTCTCCCTGTAGCCCCAGCTGGCCTGTAACTTACTATGTAGACCAGGCTGGCCTTTAACTCACAGAGATCTGCCTGCTTCTGCCTCCTAAGTGCTGGGATTAAACGTGAGCACCATCATGGCTGTCCTTTACCTTAATTTTTGAGACGGGGGCTCTCACTGAACCTGCAGCTTGATGAGTCTAGCGATTCTGCTAGACAGGGCTGGCCAGCAAGCTCCGGGGTTCCCCTGTTTTTACCTCGTTGTCACCTAGCCTGGCTTTCTGTGTGTGTACTGCAGATCCAAACTGAGGTCCTCAAGCTGGTCAACTGGCTTCTCCTCAGAGGCCCCTCAACCCATTTGTTGTTTTTGTTTTGTTTTAATTAGTTGTACAAATCTAAGTGATAACAGTATTATTAACTTGGCTAGTATTTCCAGAGAAAGGGGAAATCCAAACTGGAAAGTGAGATAAGGCACATTCTCCTAAGTAGCGGTTTGAGAACACTCAGCTTCAGGGTTGGGAGGAATTTGGCTAACCTTTGCCATCAGTTTGAATTTCTAACAGGTGCGGAAGCACTTGGCCTGCTATTAACTACTGTTTTAAGAAAAGATGTGCCCTTGGGGCATTCAGTGTACCCGCAATGTCTAAAGGGAGAGGAGGCATAAAGCCCCTGTTGAGGCAGGAAAATGGCTGGGACCCTGTGCTATGTGCTACTCAAGGTCACACGCATTAATTAGACAAACCTAAAGCAGCTGGAAAACTCAATGGACATTGCCGTGGATTGGCCCGAGTTGAAAACGTTGCCCTCCCGGAGCCCAGCTTACCTTATATCCTGACGACTTGATGTGCACGCCACGTTTGGTCAGAGTAGATTTCATTCGGATGAAAAAGGAACGCTCCAGAGTGTTGTCAGTGGTTAGCAGGCTGGGGCTGGTTGACTCCACTGAGGAACATAAAAACACATACACATGTGGTTTAGATCTCTACATGGCCCCTCACAGCCACGGTTCAGGTGCAACCCTTGAGCTCACTAAAAATAAATGACTGATGGGTGCTAAGAGTGTAGTAATCAATTTACCTCATTTAGAAAATGTTTACTTCGCAGAAAATAAAAAAAGAAAAATTAAGGTGTCTAAAGTAACTCCTTCCCAGTTTCCAGCAAGAGCTTTTCAGGTCTTTTGATTTGCTGCAGCTCCCTAAGTGGGGTCTAATAGTGAGTAATTGCAGCTTCCATTGAGGCTTGGCTAGGAAGTATGGAGCGAATTGCCTTGAAAAAAGAGGGGCCTGTGCACAGAGATACAGCAGGGTGCGGGCAGAGACACTGTGAAGGGACAGAGGCTCTGCTCTGTTCAGCCCTTCATGGACGGTTCTTTCCATGTGGAGAATGAGGTCTTCTCCACTCACTGGCTCCAGGTAGAGAGGTATGAGAATGGGATGTACAGGCAGAGAGAAGGAAAACTCAGGAGTCCAACTCCCAGGTCTACCACGACGGCATGCTGCCCCGGCCAAAAGGAAAGCCTCTTTCCACTTTCTGCCTTCATTTTTTAATGCTTTATTTTACTTTTAATTATGCGTTTGTGTGTCTTGTTGGGGGTATGTGCACATGAGTACAGGTGCCTGCAGAGGCCAGAAGAGGGCACCTGGAACTGGAGTTATAGGTGGCTGTGGGCTGCCTGATGTGGGTGCTGAGAACCGAACTTGGGCTCTTCCCCAGAGCTATCTCTTCCACTTCTCTTCCTCTCTTAAAATAGCTGTGTCCCTTTTTGCATGTTTTTAGATTAAGCAGACTATGTTTTGACCTGTGAAACTTGGAGTGGTGGTTGGCCATCGGCTGATCTAAGACCTTTATGTAAGTAGGCCAGACTGCAATGAATTTAATTTTCTTTTAAAATAAGCATTGAAAAGATTTTGTAAATTTAAGTCCTTTTCTGATAATAAGTTACTTTGGGAGATTTTATACCTAATAGATGCTCTCATTTTACTGTTCTTAAATATTGGAATTTTTCTTATTTGAAAGTTGAAAAAATAAAGTCCATCAACAAACTGGGTTTAAAAAAATTATTTTTATTTTATGTGTATTGAGTGTATTGTATTCCCTGCATGTAAATGCACCTGTGTTGTGCAATGCCTGTGGAGGTCAAAAGAGGGTGTCAGATCCCCTGGAACTGGAGTTACAGATGGTTGTTAGCCACCATGTGAATGCTGGGAACTGAACCTGGTCTTCTGCAAAAGCAGCTAGGGCTTTTAACCACCGAGCTCTCTCTCCAGCCCTCAAACTGGATTTCTTTTCTTTTGACCAGCTCTAATCTAAAACTAATTTTTCTTTTTTCTGGGATAGAGGTTAAAACACAACAAAAACACCACCAACAACATGTAATAAAGAGCTTTAAGAATTAAGTATAGAAGAAAATACCTATTCAAAAATAGATTTTAAAACTGGAAAACAAGCTTTTAAATTTAAAATTACGAAATGGTATTCATAGATTTCCAAGAGTAAGTAATCTTCTATTTCTCATATTAAATGTGATACTCAGAGGACAGAAGAATGTGAATCCTTACCCTTTGTGATCTAGGGACTTTCTGTGTCATTCGAGTCTTAGTAAATCTATACTTTGCTATATTTTTGGCATCTCTATTCTGGGGTGATGTGACCATGGACAAATGTCCCTTATGTGTCTTCTTAGAGCTTTCTTTTTTGTTTTAGAGAGCATGGATCTGATGTCATTTTAAATGTACAGCTTTTTATCACTCGAGGGAAAAGCAGAGCCATGTTATATTTAGTACTTTCATTTCTTCTGATTAAATATGAATTACTATGAAATTTTTCTCATCATCTAACACGCCATAATACGCCAACAGCTTTTTAATACACTATATAAGCACAAACTTCTGCTCTAAGAGTTTAATTTGCCCCTCTAATCCAATCACATCAACCTTATTTCTCTTATCAGAGATTCCCATTTTGAATTAAATGAGCTCATTAGTTTTAATCAAAAGCAGAGAGATCAAAACTTAAACGTAAATGCTTTAGATCAGAACTGTCAGTCAGCCGTGCAGTTCTATTTTACTAAAACACAAGATCAGAGACCCTTAGAACCAATTTTTTCTCGTAAGGGACGCCGAGAGCTTGAAGATGCTATATTCTTTTTTTTTTTCCCCTCCCAAGGACAGATTATACATTTAAGGTTAGACTTAATTTATAGCAGTTTCCATCCTTGTGGAAATGGAAGTGTGTGCCAGTCTTCTTGTTGTCCCTTTCACGTTTATTGGCACTGGTCCTCAGAGACTTGAACTACCATGACGCCAGCAGAATACAGACCACAAGCTCAGCCTTAAAAACTTAGCTCTGTTCAGCAAGATTGTGTTTGTGATAGCTTTTGGGGGGGAGGCATGGACACAACAGACTTCCTAGAGAAGTGAAGTGAGCTTTAGGGCGAGGGTTCTGGATACGCCGACCAAGTCAGGAAGGAGTCAGTCACCTCACTGTAGCAGGGAGGGTAGTTCAGACATCCTGAGAAATCTTTACTGCTTTCAGAATGGGAACTGCACAGCAAACAGAGTAGATAGGGACCACAGTAACGGAGCTTCCAGCTGAGTGAGGACACAGCTTCAAATGAGCTGTGCAGCCAAACATTGTGTCATGCTCCGGCTGAGGCAGGAGTACAGCATCCCACCACATGCCACAGTGGTAATTGCCTAAACACGCAGGGCGGTGTTAATTACGCTGGGGACAGCTGGTGTGAAAGAAATGCTAAGGTCAGGCTTTGCCCCATTGAAGCTGAGATTTAGAATCTAAATTAGTCATCAGACTTTATTTCAAGAGCAAAAGGGGGCCGAGGAGTTGGTGTGAAGCAGACAAGAGACCTAGGAGAGCTTCATTTCTGATGATGATTTCTATTTTAATTGCTTATGACTTTGTAGTTCTCAGGATGGGCAGAACTAACTTGCCAGTCTATACCTTTCAGTGGGACAGGTAGCAAACCCACTCATAGCATACCCATCATGGCCATGCTTCCGTAGGGTAGCAAATATGCTTGCTTTATCCCAACTATGACAATAGCGTCTTCCTTGTGAAGCAATGTTCTATCAGTCACTTTGGAAGAACAGCTTTCTGACTGTCTCAGACTATGAGGAAGGCTGTACTAAAGAGGGGCAGCATGGCAGCTTGGCCATGGTTGTTCAGAGACTGTGGTGCTGAGGAGAGGAGGAATGAGCTGAAGAAGGGATGATGCAGCGAGGGAGGTCGCCCTGGGATGATGCAGTGAGGGGTTCGCCCTGGGATGATGCAGTGAGGGGTTCGCCCTGGGATGATGCAGTGAGGGGTTTGCCCTGGGATGATGCAGTGAGGGGTTCGCCCTGGGATGATGCAGCGAGGGGTTCGCCCTGGGACCTGAGCTCTCTGAAGACAGTGGCTCCATTTTATGTCTAGGACATATTTAGAGTGCTTTCTAGATATGCATTCCTTTTCTATCAGCTGATAGAGAATAGCCCCGTCACTGCTACATGCTAAATTTGGCATTCTGGGAAGTCCTAACTGCTGCCTGACATGCAGGACAGATCTGTGGCAAAGCTGCCTTAAGTGGTCACATCTTAGTCTCGCTCACTTTTGACCCATGAACTATAAAGTAGGAGATGAAAACATAAAAATAAAACCCACATGATGAGAGAGCTAAGCAAACACAGTATTCTTCTGCTGAAAATACTTAATTTTATCTGTATGAATGTGTTCAGACCTGGTAGATGGCCGATATGGAACCTGTGGATACGGCGGGGTCGTATGTAAGGGCTGTATGTACCTTGTTCCCTCTTCATTGCCTAAATCAACACCTTTGGAGATACTCTCAAACAAACCAAAGTGCAAACATCCAAAATGATTTTAAAAGGGCACTATTTCATTTTGTAATTCTTTGGGTGAAGTTAAATTGTGTCTCTGGCACTCCCTGTTGGGTTTCTTAAACATATGGTTGAGGACTTTAGGATGAGTATGTTTACACTGTAATTTGACAAGGTGTTTCTTTTCTTAGAAAAGTTTCCCTTTCAAGTAGCAGAGGGACTACTAGGGAGCGGGTGGGAAGGAGAGAAGGGATGTGAAGGGAGGACCTTGGGAGGGCATTTGTGACCCAAACAAGAGCTGCACATGTGGAAATGACACAGTGAAACCCATGACATTAGCGATTGATAGGTCTTAATTAAACAATATATTTTAAAAAGCTTTCGTCTGAGGAAAGCACTTCCATCACCACTGGGAGTTGGTGCTGTGGCCTGGCGTTAGCCAATGAAAGTCACAAAAGTCACCGTGTTCAGGTGGACTTTTCAGGCTCCAGTCATGACCATTTGTCGCACCATTAGCAGCTCACATGTGGCTGTGCTATTAGGCTGAGTTTTAGAAGACAGTGGGGGCAGCCTCCTTCCCACCTTTAGTCCTCATAGATATAAATCATTTTTGTAATTTGTTTTTCACTGCATTATAACCTAGCCCATACTGACTAATGCTAATAATGTTTATTTGTTATATTAAAACATTAGTATGTTACCCAAGATCTTTTAGCCAGCCAGTGTCAGAGTACGGCTATGACACCTATTTATCAGACTCCAAAGGTCATGATGATGACAGCCTGCTTTTCTTAGTATTTCTATACTTATTTTATCCCCATTTAATTTGGCTGACATGTCACAAGTCTAACTCTGATCCCGATAGCACATATCATGGTTCATTATATGTGAGCACACATATACCTATATATTACATGCAATATAATTATTGCTTTGGGCATGCTATATGTCCATTTATCTGACTGAGGACACATATGTATTCAATAACAAATATTCATTAAAAACTAACTTAAAGAATATTTCCAATCTAGTGTCTGAATCCTGAACATGAGTCTTTTATCAAAGAAAACTGTCCCAATGGGTTTTGTTTGTTTCAGGTATTCGTGGTAG